AGTCCTGGCTCTATGCGTAGAGAACTGGTCCATTGCTACACTCTAGTTTGCCCCTGCCCGCGTCCTATGTTGCCCATGGCTTCCTCTGTTGTGCATGGTTTCCTCTGCTATTCGCATGGCTTTCTTTGTTGCCCCTAGACGCGTCCTCTGATGCACATGGCCTCCTCTGCTAGCTTTCTCTGGTGCGCATGTCTTCCTTTGTTGCGCATTGTTATTCGCATGAGTTCCTCGGCATCCGCATGGCCTACTCTGCTATCCGCATGGCTTCCTCTGCATCTGCATGGCTTCCTTTGCTATTCCAATGGCTTCCTGTGGCTATTTCATTGGCGTCCCAACAATCGCCCAACCATCCTCGAATCCAGACGTACAGTGGGACATGACGGAGCAGCGTAGAGTAGAGTAGGGACGAGTCTATGAGTCGAGTAGATCTCAACACCTTACAGTCTGTTCGAGTAGAGTAGAGCACGGTAGTGTAGAGTAGAGTAGAGTCGAGTAGAGCAGGAGTAGACCAGTATGCGCAGAGTAGGGCCAGGTAGGGTAGTGCAGGGTAGATGTAGGTAGCCTCTAGCAGCCTAGTGTAGCGAAAGGCATTGGAGTAGGGTAGATAGTGTAGCAGAGTCGCACGCAGTCAGAGCAGCGTATATCAGGACAGAGTAGATCATAGTAGAGTCGAGTATATACGAGCACAGCCGATTCGAGTAGACCATGGGCGAGTCTATTCTATTGTCGTAGGATAACCGTTGAGTAGAGTAGGGTATTAATTCAGTAGATTCGCAGTCGGGTAGAGCAGCGTAGAGTAGATTCTCGTAATTCGGGTGGAGGAGGGTCTGTCAGGGTAGGGCCGGGTAGAGTCGAGCAGTGCAGGGCACGGCGGGGCAGAGTAGGGCAGATGCTAGAGCATGGTCGAGTATCATCGATTCCCCGCGGGCATGCAACAGTTCAGGCCCGCTGCCCGTGGCCACGGCGCCAGCCGGCCTGCCTCGCGCCAGCCCCTGGCCCGTGCCCCGGGCGCGCGGTGGGCGAGCGCCAGCCGAGCGCCGAGTGCGACGAGAGCTGGCTCGCGCTGAGAGCTCCTCCTCCGCCGCTGGGCCGACCTCGCGGGCAGCGCCGTCGGGGCTGCCTCGGGGAGCGGGCAGCCTGGCGGCGCCCCTCCGCCCAGACTCGGGAGCCTTCGGCGCCCTCGGGTGAGAGGCGGTGCTTACTGAACGCTGCCATGGGCGACGCCACTTGCCTCGGGTGCGGCGGCGTCGGGCCTGTTGCCGAGGCTGGAGTAAGTGAGGCCGCCACCCCTGCCGTCCTCGTCATAGCTGCGGAGGCCGCTGTTGCAGCTGCCTCCCCGCTGGTGCCTCCTCCACCGTCACGGAGCCGATGCCGATGGCAGCCTGCCCCGTCTCTGCACCGCCCATGTGGTACTCCTTCTGGGCTGGGCTGTCAGGATCAGAAGAGGAGCAGGAGCAGCAGGATGAGGAGCAGGAGCAGGAGGAGCACGAGGAGGAGGAGGAGGAGGAGGAGAAGGAGGATGAGGAGGAGGAGGAGGAGCAGGAGGAGGAGGAGGAGGAGGAGGAGGAGGAGGAGGAGAACGAGGACGAGGACGAGGACGAGGACGAGAACGAGGAGGACAAGGAGGACAAGGAGCGCCTGTGGAGTGGTATGTAGGCCAGGCGGAGCTCGTACCTCTGGAACCCTTCCGCCACCCCCAGCGGGATGCCGTGCCTGCTGAGCGCGCCCGTGGGCGACCGCCCCTCACTCGGGGCATAGGCGAGCCTGTCCTGGCTGGGTGCGAGAGCCGATGCCGACGCCGCGGGTGCCTTCTGGCATGCCGACCTCGCCAGTGGCTGCGGCGGCCGCCGCCGCCGCAGCATGCTGCCACTGCCGCGCTTGGCCTGGCCCTGGAATCGGTGCCCCCCTTTTCGGCGGCGAGCGAGGGGGGGAAGTGAGGAGGAGAAGGCCTTCTCGGAAGGCGGCGGGACTCCTCAGAAGCCCTGGCGCACTCAGAGAAGTCTTTGTTGGTCTTTCGGAAGGCTCCGAAGACTTCTCAGACGGCCCGGGGACTCCCGATCCCTCTGATGAGGCCCTCTCCTTCTCACTCCTCCCCCTCGCCCGCCGACCTTGTGCCCCGCCCCCCGGGGCTGCGGAGCGACTCGGGGCCGGGCTCCTCCAGCCTGGTGCCCGCGGTGTGGCCGAGGTGCGCGCCAGCGCCGACCCCGCGGCCAAGGGGGCGGGGGGCCGCCGAGGGGTGCCGGCCAGCGGCGAGGCAGCGGCCACGGCGCGAGGGCGCGGGCCTCCGAGCCGCGCGGTGCTGCTCGGGCTGCTGCCGACGCTGCCCTTCGCGGTCCTCCTCGCAGAGGCCCGTGGTGGCTGCTGCGAGCAGTACTCATGTCCACATCCACTGCAGTATGGAGTTCCGGGCTCCCTTCCCCAGAAGCCCAAGCGCGCACTGGATATGGATAAATTTGCCCCCGAGAGGCTCGATTCTTATCCATGTCCAGTACGCCTCGGCCTTGTGGCGCCCCTTCCCAAAAAAATCGAAGGCACACTGGATATGGACACAACTCTTGCCCGCAGCTGCGGTGAGTGCTGTGCGCCTGCGCTCGCCCTTGTCCCACGCCATCCGGCGCAGGCCTGCGGCCGGCCGCCGGAGGAGCGGCGGGTGCTCGTCGCCGTCCCCCTCCCTGGAAGACGCGGTCGAGGGACGGCAGCTGCAGCCTGGCGCGGGCGTGGGAGGTGCGCCACTGCTCCCAGCGCTGCTGCGCGCTCACGCACTCTTCGTCGTAGAGGAAGTGCGGGACCCAGTTGGCGGCGAGCCTCCGTGTAGCCTCCTGCAGGAGTGCGCAGCCGTCGCACTCGTGCTCCTCCCCGACGGCGTGGCCGCTGTGGGGGTGATGCGTCCTCCCCTTTGCCCGCGGCTCCGCGTTGAGGCCGACGCCGTTGTCGAGGCATGGCGCTGCTAGCGGTGGAGCCCCCGCCATGGTGTCTGGGAGGTCCCGTCGATCAGCCTTTCCGTATAGGCCGTAGAGGCTCAGGAAGGCGCGCTGGAGCGCGAGCCTCCCAGCCCTGCTCCTGCGCCGTGCGTTAGCGCAGACCTCCGGCGTCGTAGCCTGCCGCGTCGCCTCCTGGGACCAGCCGCGGTCTGCCGCATGTCTCTCGACGATAGTCGGCCGAAGCTGGGGTGCTGCATGCAGTTGAAGACGTGCGTCTCGCACCTGTCTAGCTGGTCCCTCGTGGCCGCGCCCTCGTTGTGCATCAACGCAGTGGGGTAGCACCACGCTGCGGCCAGCCTCGGTAGCGTTCGCCTCATGGTTGCATCTTCATGGCGTCCATCTTGTCGGATGCGAGGCTCTTCCTTGTCGATCGGGTCCACTGGCAAGGTTCCCCCCGTGGCCTCGCTCTGGAGGCCTGGTTCCTGAGGCTCCTTGGCCTGCTGCCCTTCGCTGGCGGGCCCCCGGCGAGTGCGCTTCGCAGGCGTCGTGGCGCATGGCGCCCATGCTCCCCTGGGTGGTGAAGAGGTTCGGCTGCGACCGGGCTCCGCGGCCTTGGGGCCCCTCAATTCCTCGCGCTCCACCTGGGGGAAGCACTTCTGGTCGCACCTGCTGCCCTTGAGCACCTGCTCTCAGCTGACGAGGGCCCCATGGCGGCGGCACCAGCGGTCGGGACCGCCTTGCTCCACAGGACGGTGCGAGGGCAGCTCGCTCCTGGCCGGGTGGGGCACGCTCAGCGGCTCGATGGCCTGGCGCCGAGCCGCGAAGGCAATTCAGATGCCTGACAGCTCCTCTGGCCCAGGCCTCGTCCCTCAGTGCCTCCATGACGGCCTGCTCCTGCTGCGTGTCTGCGAGCGTAGCTACAGCAGGGGCGGCGACTGAGGCGCCGCCAGGGGGGGCCATCGCCTGTAGTTGCCCAGGAAGCCCGCGCGGGCCCTCGAAGTCTCATGCTTTGGTGGCAACTCACGGGAGCCTCCCATACCAACTTGTCGGCTCTCGCGAATCGACGCTACATCGACGCTAGTCGACGGGGTACTTGTGCAGACGGCTTCGCAGGTGTCCCATGCCCGCATTCACATTGACTCGTGGAGCGACACTGGACGTGGTGGTGCCCGTGAGCAGCAGGATGAAGTGCGGCCTCTCCAAGAGCGTTGCCATGAACGGGACGGACCAGTCGATCCAGTCGTTGATTTCGTGCCAGGCTTTGCCTTCTGTCATTACAAAGAACTACTGCACGGCTTGGCCCTCAGGATGTCCAGCGACTCGCCGTGCATGTTGAGCCTGGGACGAGGGTGGCCTTGCGGGGGGGCTTTCCCATGCACCTCCGATCTGGCGGTCTTGGTCCATGCACCTCCACGTGCTTGTCGGTGCCCGACTCACCCCGCAGGTCCCATTGCCTGCGTGCCTTCTGATCCTCGCGCTCAGCCTTCGGCAGGCATTTCTGGTCGCGCTCGCTGGCCCTAGGCACCTCCTCCTACTTGCCGATCAAGCCACTACGGCACTGCCAGTTCTGGGTCCTTGGTCCACGAGGTCCAACGAGCTCTGCTTCAGGGGACAGCTGGCCATGCTCCTGGATATGGGATGCCGAGGGCTGCCCTAGACCTGGAAACCATCCGGAGAACTTGACAGCGTACATGCCCGCTTCCTGGTAAGATCCTGGCTTCTTGTCCCTGGCTTGCTTCACAAAGTCCAGTCGACGTCCAGTCGACGTCGCCGGGCAGGGGGTCGGCGGTGGCGTTGACCTCGTGGCGTCCGTTGCCTCTGGACCCTCTGCATCTAGGCTGCCGCTGCCAGGATGACCGCGAGGCACTCCTTCCTGTCCTCTGGTGCTCCTTATGGTGGCACTGCTGCAGTGACGTCTTCCAGAAGGTCTGGGTCGTCCAAAAAGTGGCTCTTGCTTAGGTGCTGTAGCGCCTCCGCCGCCGTCGCCTGGGCGGTGAGCATGCGCGCCATCATCGCCAGTCTCACCGCCGCCGGCCCCGTCGGCAGGCCCCTCCATGGCCGCGTCGGTTTCCTCCTGGCCTTCGTCGACTGCCTTCTGGCGCGGAGCGCCTCGTGGGCCGCGTCTACCTTGACACTGCTCTGCATGCAGTGCTGGGGCTTGCTGGACTCGGCTGCCGGCTTGAGCCCTTCAAGACCTGCTCCTCCAGGCGCCGACCCGTGGACATTCTTGATTTCGGTCTCCGCCTCGGCGAGCTGGCCATTGAGCTCTTTGAGATGCCGCTTCTCGCGCACGATTTGCTCCGCGATCTGGGGCTGCTGTTTCTCCAGGCCGTCGAGCATGCGGACGTGCTTATCACTCTGCTGCTGCTCGAGCTTGCGCCTCGCTGCCAGGAGCGATCTCAGTGTCGAGACCGTTTGTTTTTCTCGTACTCGGCGGCCAGCTTCCCGAGCGTGACAGCGATGCCATTGCCTGCTTCGCCTATTCCGGCCTCGGCCGTGAGCTCGATGGAGGGGCCTGCTGCTCAAAGCGCCTGCGCTGCCAGGGCGTGCGGTTTGTAGCTGCCGTAGCTGACGGTGCTTACGCGCCCCTTGGTGAAGGTGATGGAGCCGCAGCGGCACGGCCAGTGCGGCGTCCGCGGTCCTCGTAGCACGCCGTACTCTGCTTCTGGCGGTGGTCCCATGATTCTGGGTGTGGAGTGCCAGGGCAAGCCCTCGATGTGGAACAGTGGAGAACTGGCCGCGGACCAGCGGCATTTGTCGAAACACCCGGACGAGTGAGCACCTTGAGCCAACATGGCCACGGTGGGTAGAACAGAGTAGAGCAGAGTCGAGTCGAGTAGAGCAGATGACAGTACATGAGAGCAAAGTAAGAGTAGAGTAATACTAGAGAAGACAAGGGTAGAGCCGAGCAAGAATAGGAGTAGAGTCGAGTAGCGTAGGTCCTGTACGGTAGGGTAGAGCAGAGTAAGGTAGAGCAGAGCAGAGTAGAGTGGAATAGAGTAGATGGTAGAGTATAGTCGGGTAGAGTACAGTAGAGTAGTGTGGAGTAAAGTTGTTGACAGTGGAGTAGAGTCTAGTCTTATCCATCAGAGCCCAGTGCAGCCCAGCCTACTCCAGCCCACTCCAGTCCACCTCATATCAGTCTTCTGACCTATTTGGCGTCTGCGTTTTTTTGTCAGCTTCTTAATATCACACTCTCTCTCGCTCTCTCGCTCCCACATGTCTCAAGTGCCGCCCGCGCCCGCCCTCTACAATTGGACGGGCCTGCCCGCGCTGGTGCGCGTGGTGGCGCACGTATTGGCGTTCGCGCGTGCAGGAGGGCCCTCGAGCGCACATTCGCGTGCACGCTCTGTGGCATGGGTAAGGATGTACACATGGGCTTTCGCTATCATGTGCGCATGCGTGGTCCCCGCGCCGTGAGTGTCCACCTCTCCTTCCCGCCCTCCGCGGCCGCTTCCTCCCCCCTTCCCCACTCTTGCAGCTGGACAGTAAGGGCTGTTTCGTAGCCCGACGCGCTAGAGCGCGCGAGCGGATTGCCTCTGCCGCGCTCCGACGTAAAACACGCATGTACAGTCACGTGCCTATGCGCAGGGGCATCATTGTTCAAGCGTGTACATGCTCGCGCGCACGGCTGCCGTCGTTTGTCCGCACCTGCGCCTGCATGCGTCTGCGCGCGTATGAGGTTCCACTTCGGGAGTCAGGTTGCGAGTTCTGGCGGCGGCTGGAGCGGCCGCAGTTACAGCCCTGGCTCTGGGTGCAGCTTCGCGCCCTTGGCTCCCAGTGTCCGCGGGAAGCCCGTTGTCCAAACGATGCTCTAGGACCCAAGAGTGGCCAGGATCACAGTCTGCTTTTCCCGCCCTCCTCCCCTTAGTCCCCCTGAGGAGAAGAGGTACGACGGAGCACAGGACAGAATTCCGAGTGATTCGCGATCTCGAGATTCACAGATGCCCAAGGGGAACACGACGCCCCGAGTTTCCTGGGTACCATCTTGTCGCCCCATTGTTCCGAAGGAGGGCACTTAGCGCACCCACAGGAGACTTGCTAATCTTGCAGCCATCACATGTTTCCTTTCGAGTCAGCTCGCCAAGCTATGCCCAGAAGCTGCCAGGCTCTCGAGCGGGTGCGGATGGACCAGATCACCTCTGGTCCAGTAGACTATGTCGTGAAGTGCACCGAGGGTCTCTTCGCCGGGCGCTTCATCTACGTCAACCGCACCCCTCAGGCTGCTATGTTTTTCCATGTCGACCCAAGTGGCGCGAGGCCGGTATACGTGAAACAGCTGCGTTCGAATGGGCGTGGCAGTAGTAGCCATACCAGTAGGCGTAGCATCGGTAGTCGTAGTCGTACCCGTATCGTATGGTATGGTCGTTTGTAGTGAAAAGGTTTTGTCGTATTTCTTTTTACGATTTCTGCTGCAACTATAACTGCGATTTCTATTACGGCTGGTGCAATCGGCAGAGCCACTTTTGCAAGCAGTCGTAGTCGTGGCAGTACTCGTATCGGCGGTGAGATATCCTCGTTGCCAGAAGCGACGTTGCAACGAGTGGTAGTAGTAGTAGTAGTAGTAGTAGTAGTAGTAGTAGTAGTAGTAGTAGTAGTAGTAGTAGTAGTTAGTAGTAGTGTAGTAGTAGTAGTAGTAGTAGTAGTAGTAGTAGTAGTAGTAGTAGTAGTAGTAGTAGTAGTAGTAGTAGTAGTAGTAGTAGTAGTAGTAGTAGTAGTAGTGTAGTATTAGTAGTAGAAGTAGTAGTAGTAGTAGTAGTAGTAGTAGTAGTAGTAGTAGTAGTAGTAGTAGTAGTAGTAGTAGTCGTAGTCGTAGTAATAGTAATAGTAGTAGTAGTAGTAGTAGTAGTAGTAGTAGTAGTAGTAGTAGAGTAGTGGTAG